TGGAGAAGGTTTTCTTCAAGTACCTCTCTGTATTTGGCTCCGTTCATCTTTCCCTCAATCCTGACCAGTTTCCCAGTCCCTGCCACTGAGAAGCATCCCCACAGCATGATGCTGCCATGCCTCACCATAGGCATGGTATTAGCCAGGTGATGAGTGGTACCTGGTTTTCGCCAGACATGGCGTTTGGCATTCAGGCCAAAGAGTTCAATTTTTGTCTCATCGGACCAGAGAATCTTTTTCCTCATGCTCCGAGTCCTTTAAGTGGGCTGTCATATGACTTTTACTGAGGAGTGGCTTCCATCTAGCTGCTGTAGCACAGAGACCTGATTGATGGAGCTGTGCTTCCGACAGGTTCTCCCATCTTTACACAGATACTCTGAAGCTCTGTGAGAGCGGCCGTTGGGTTCTTGGTCACCTCCCTGACCAAGGTCCTTCTTGTCTGAATACCCAATTTGACCGGACAGCCAGCTCTAGGAAGAGTCTTGGTGCTTCCAAACTTATTTCATTTGGCAATGATGGAGGTCACTGTGCTACTGGGAACCTTCAGTGCATTGCCAATTTTTTATCCCCTTTTCCAGATCTATGCATTGATACAATCCTATCTTGGAGGTCTACGGAGAGTTCCCTGGACTTCACAGTGCATAGAAGAGTACAAACCAAGCCATGATCTGTGGGACCTTATAAAGACAAGTGTGTGCCTTTCTAAATCGTGTCCAAGCAAGTGAATTTGCCACAGGTGGACTATAATCAAGTTCTAGAGACATCTCAAAGATGATCAAAAGAAATAGGATGCATCTGAGCTCAAATTGGTGTGTCATAGTGAAGGGTGTGAATACTTATGTAAATGGGAGATTTCCGTTTTTTTTAAATAAATTTGCCAAAATTCCTAAAAACATGTTTTCACTTTGTCATTATGGGCTGTTGTGTGTCGACTGATGGCAAATTAAGAGTCGGTTCAATCCGTTTAGAAACAAGTCTACAATACAAAGTGTGGAAAAAGTGGAAGGGTCTGAATTCTTTCTGAAAGCACTGTATGTCCATGCTTCTTCTCTCTTCCTATTTTGGAGTGACCTTGATTGTTTCTTTTCTTGATAACGTTCTTTAAATTATTTTAAAAGTTTACAAAGTAGAATTAAAAGTATCTCTGTTGACCTGTGTTCATATATTGAAGATACTTTCATTGTACATAAAGTAGTATTCCATTTGGATCCTTATGTAGTTACATAGTTAAACATGAATAGTACATCACATTACATGGTGGCATGTTATGTGTTGACTTTTAAGTGTTTCTTCTGCTTTTCATTATTTCAGCTGGTTTTACACCGGAAATGTATGGAAATTAAACTGTTTTATTCATCCTTTGTTTCTGGGATGTGACAGAGACGCACAACTGTCTTAAACTGATATCAGCTTAATACCTTGAGGAGGGAATTATGATGATAAAAGGGCCCTAAGCATATTGTTAAAATATTTTATTAAGCATACTGCCGGGTCCTTTTGGAAAATGAAATGTTAAAATAACTTGTTCTACAATCAGATTTACATTACCATGCTAATGGGTTTTATAAATCTAAGAATTCAAATATCCTGGAGGCTGATTTGCAAACTACGTTTCTGAAGAAAACGAGTAAACGGCTAATTAAAATTAAAACTGCGCAGAAAAACATTTTGAACTCGGCACTATTTCAATATGCAATTAGGCACATAGCTTTTCTCATTGCTAGTGTCTAATAATCAAACAAGTGACCTGAATAGTTAAATGAGCTTGTACCTGCTTAATACATTACTACAAAAATAATATTTGTTTTGAAGGTTTTTTAAAAACATGAATTATACAGTATGTTTCTTTTCTCACTGTTTGGAATAGTACATTTAACCCTGTGTTGCAGACACTTTCTCTTGATATGGGGAGAATTGACAAATGTTCAAGCCTTTAAATATTGTGGTCTCTAAATTTGGTGCGCACCTCTCACCATAGGACGGGACTGAAACTGATGATTTTTAGTTGCCGATGTAGACTTCAAACTGCCATGGCGTAGAGATAATTGGCCAGTAAGGGATGTCCCTTCTCTTTGGCAAGACTCCTGGTGATGTGACCAGTATTATTGTTTGCAAGAAGAATTGGTCTTCTGTGGTTTAGCAAACTCTTAAGTGGGTGAAATTTGTTTTTACCCTTTGTTCTAGTAAAGCATGTTTTTTTGGGGTGGGGAATACCCAGTTGGGAGTTTTTCTTTGCTTGTCGCTATAAGCCCTGCAACCATACATGGGAGACTAAGGAAGTATAGGCAGACTCCTCCAGCCTGTCCACCTTTGTTTTAATTGTCACTGGTAACCCAGCCCTGTGCTGGCAGGCAGATTGATTGGTAAAGAGGTGCATCACCACCAGAACTTCATGCCAACAAAGCTCTTGGGAGGATTGGAGGTTGCTGCGTTTCTGAGTCGCCGAGAGATCCCCGGCCAGCTGTTTACACACTGGCATCGCCACCCCACTAGATAACTAGGAATTGGCCGAGCGCCGGTGCTGCTTCAGGGACGCTAGTGACATAACCCAGACTTGATCCTGCACGTGGGTGGGCACCTTTAATCGTTTTGCCACTCAGGATGCCCCAGAACTTGATGTTTAGGCCTAATGTGCACTACACGTCGGATCTCTGTACCATCCACCACCTGTGTGTAGCACGTCTTGCCCCATTCTGAGCTCAGACCATTAGTCAGTCTCAGGAAGTGAGCACCGCACCCGAGGACCTGTCGCTGCTGTTCATTTTGCACTTGCTCGCTCAGGGTGGCCCTCCGTCTTAGTTTGTGGAAAAAGTTTGTTTTTTTTTTCTTTTGAAGAAGCTTTGGGCTTGTTGGAAAGTAAATGGTGGTTGTCTTGACAGTGAGAGTGCAGGCTAAATTTTTTTTTTTATTTTTGTTTGGATTTTAATTTTACCAGACTGTTGACATAAAATGTCAGTCAGCACTGGCGTATAGAACCCTCCCCCAAGGGAAGTGAGGAACAGTGGTGCCACTATCGGCCGTCTTCTCTCCCTCAGCACGCACTGTGTAAGCTTCTGAAGATTGTAAAAAAGTTTGGGGAAAAAATGTATTTAAAAGTAAAAGACATTTACTAATTACTACTGTTTTACTGAGGCTGAACCTCATGCAGATGGTTAAAGACTACATTGTACTTGAGGAAATACGTTTTGGGGTGAAACTCATTTTAATGTTCATAAAACCATAAATGTCTGGCAAGACAAATTCTTTGCATGTATTGAGCTAAGTTAAAGCAATGTTTAGAGAGCGTTTATATGACTTGCATGCGGGGAACTCGGGCATCACGTTTAGCAGGATTATTAAGTTTTTACCATGCCAGTGGCTACCCTCATCTTAGCTCTTGTCATCTTTCATTGTCTTTATATCACTTGCTGAAGGTTGCAAATCAAGCTTGCTTCTCCGAAGATGTCTGTGGAGAAAGTGTCAGTTTTAATCTGCTTTGCCAGTAGTTGCCAGCTCCCATACATTTGATGAATTTGCACTTTAAAGCTTTTGCTCCCGCGTCCAGTATTTATCATCACCTGTCAAAAAGCATTACCTCGAGAAGGTGATCAGCCTTGCGAATATTGGTTATTTCTCTTTGCAAAGTCACTGAATTGGGTATTTCTGGTTCACTATCTGCTAATTCCACTTACCGTAGGTTGAAGGCAGTTTGGGACTTGCTGATGAGTCATTGTTATAAGGCATCTCCTGAAGACAGTCTTAGAACCTTTCTAACCAGATACAGAATCGTGGATCATTTGTAGATCCCGTGTTAGGGTTAAGCTTTTCTTTAAGGACAATTGCCGCAGAATTACTGAAATGCTTTTTTTAAATTCATTGAAAGATCATTTTAATTGAGAGTGTATTCGCTACCGAAAGCACTCCTGCATTGCTAATGAAAATGAAGAAAAATGTTTAGCATTGAAACTGAATAACCCCCCCAAAAAAGTTTAAAGTGTAGGTTTACTTGAGTGTTCTCCAACTCTGGTCCTGTGGTCTGGTAGGGTTGGTTGGCTGGTTTTTAAACCCTAAAAGTCCAGAAAAGAGTTGATTGAATTAATGCTCAGGCAAAATGGGAACCAGAAGAGAAAGCGCACTTTGGGAACTGAATTTCTTTTCAATTTCTGTACCCGTTTTAAATTAGTTAGGAAGTACCCACACAATGGGTGTCCTTATTGTTGGTCTGCCTTGTGTTCTCCAAATGGGATTAAATGGGTTATTTTACTTTTCAGACCCTTAAAAGCATGAATATGAGTGCTGAGAGAAATGTGTCCACTTAAGTTGTCTTGGGTTAGGGCTTAGAGCCCTGTGCAGTTTGTGACGTGAGGGTGTTTCTAAACGTGCAATCAGTTTGTGACTGGTACACAATTTATATTTATATGTTAAGTATATATTAATTTAATGATGATTTTTGGACTCCTCTGTCTTGTTCCCCTACATGGTGTCCATCATGCCTGTGTTCTGCTCACATACCATTTTTTACAAGGTGTTAACCCACACTGGTTCAATCCCTGAAGCATAGCCTGTTCTGCTGCCTGTTGCACAAATAACACAGACCCCCCTCAACAGGCCAGGGTTTGTTTTATGGAAAAGGGCAGCAAGTTCTTCTGTTACTTTCTTAGCGTTTATAAGCAGTAAAAATCCTCAAGACCTGAAGATAGTTTGTGTGTGTAAAAATGAGTGCAACAAGAACTAACATTTCAAAGATTAATTTGGAAAATCAGTAAATACTAGTTTCTTCTACCTCTCGGGTTTACTTGAGTAACGTTGTGGAGTGACTTGAAAACTTAGATGTGGTTTCTGGACAGAATGGCAGCAGTTAAACGATATACCTATAACACCTTGTTCAGCCGTTGAATTATGTCAGAAATGATGATGCACTTGCCTCTGACAAATGAGTCATAATAAAGTCTTCGTGTATTTGTCTGCCCAAAACGGAAATCTGGGATTTTATTGTACTGAGAGCTGAAGGTGACTCGAGGTTATACCCAGTCATAGCTTCCTCGCCCAGACTTTCCCAGCATGTCGATTTTCGTGCTCACCTCTTTCTTGTGTAAGTTCTGTATTTAAAGTGTTGGGGTGTCAGAGTAACATCATACAGTTTAAACTGACGTCAATTGCAAACTATCCTGAATAGAGGAAATAGTGCAGTTTAGTTAAGGTATTATAGGTTCGTCATGGTTTGATAATGAATGTAAGATGCAGTCGGTTTTCATTTCTGCTATGAGCTACTGTATCCAGGCTATTCCTGTGAGGTCTCAGGTTTTACTGTTTGAGTGATATCTAGTGGTATTTGTGAGGTAGGAGCACATCCAAAATATCGGGTGCCTGCAACATCCTTCTGGTTAGGTTATGGCCCTTTCCAAAACCCAGGACCTGAAACATTAAGTTTTGCTGGTCAGCCTTGACCCAACTTTCCAATGTTTTTCCAATACAAATATGCACAGTTATGATTATTGTTTTAAGGAAACTGGAGGTGGTCCAGTTTAGTCTTGCGGTACAGTTGAGCTGGAATCGTCAATTGAATGTTCATAAGCAAAACCATGGTAGTATAGGCCTTTTTATAAAGCGTGCACTGCATGTCAACAGCACAGCAAAGTGTGAGGTTAAGTGCACCGTTATGTTTTTTTTTTTACTCTGCAACTTATGTGGATATGCGCCATAAATTAACTGTATAATTTAATTTAATTTTTGTTATATCATCCCAATATGGTGTATGAGTGGCCCACTGCAGAAAACTGTTTGTGACCAGTAAGGATCCTTCATCTGTATTGTGTATTGTATGCATGGCTTTGGACTGGAACCTGGGGAATCTCATAAGCACCTCGTTTAGATGGTATTGAGCACAGAAGTGAGTAGTGACTGAAATACAATAATGTTTATATATTATATAATAAAATGCGATTTCAGGTTTCTGATCTAAAAATAAGAATGCTTTCTTCAGTGGTTTTAATATATTTTGTACAATTATCTAATTAGTTTACATTAACAATGGTTTATAATCTGTTGATGGGCCACAGTTCCATTTTCTTTTTGACTGATGTTGCCCATCAACAGATTATAAACCATTGTTAATGTAGATGAGATAATTGTACAGAATTGAGCTTTCCTTATTTTCCAACTGGCCATAAAGAATTGTCTACAACCCCCCCCCCCACACACACCCTTTCACTTCTGTGCTACGTATTTGCTACTATTTATCCTTATGTCAAATTCTGTTTTTGTTTTTAAATGCAGTCAAAAGCACAGGCTGAGAAACCGCTTTGTTTTGTCCCCACTGTTGTGTAAATTTCAGGCCATGAGTCTGCTTCTTTGTTGTGTTTGCCTATTGATTTTTCTTGTGTGCTGTAGCGACTGATGTTCTTAAAGTTCTTCCCTTCTGAAGGCTTAGTTTTAACAGCAAGTGAAAAATATGCACTTCTGAAATTAGACAAAGGGGGAGAGTATTAGCCTTTGTGCACCCTGATGTCTTAAGGGCTTATACCTTTTATGTTCTCTTTAAAAAAAGCTTCTGATCATGACGGGTATTTTTTTTTATTTTCAACATAGAACTATAATATGGCACAGTAGCAACATTATGCCCTTTATGTTTGCTGAGTTGGCATTTCAACATGATTAGTGTTACTCTGGTATTTCATATGCTTTACAGTGACAAACATGCAGTGCATGCTTATTTTATAGAGGTATCTATCTGAAATACATTACATTTTCTTTGTTAATACAGCTGCTTGTAGCCAGAAATGCATGAAGTTCTTGGGTGTTCATAGCAGGTTTTTAGAGATTGGAGGTCAGCCTAGTTGACCATTGTGTCACAATTTGAGGAGGGAGAGCAAATATCTGTGCATGGCCTTGCGTTGCAATCCAATAAATAAAGCAGTAGTTAAGCAATGAATGTGCTTTTGAATTGGAAACAGCAATATAAATGGGACCGTAGTAATTAAAAAGAATTAGGAGCACATTAAGGTCCCGACATGTTATTAGTAATGTATGAACAAATTAAATGTTCTTATTTCATGGTTGATGGTTTTGAGAAAGGACTTGAATTCTCAATGAAGAAGAAGGTAGCGAGCTTGTAACTGTACTGCGGGTTGCACACCATCGCACTGTGTGGAAGCGTTTTTCCGGACGTGAGGCTGTTGTAGCTTTGTTTCCAGTCAGGAGGGGTGGTGCAAAGGTGAGTGTGCGCTGCCTCCAGAGGGATAAGCTGTCGAAGGGCTTGTTCTAGCTCCATTCATGTCAAGGCAAAGACAGTGGCAAAGTGCCCCCATGTGCATTCAGCTTAGACTTATATTTCTCCAATTCATTGTTGTTCACTTAGCATTGTGTACAGGAATGGGAGTATCATATGAGCTGAAAGGTAATTTAAGCATATGGCAGATGCCTTTGTCCAAGGCAGCATCTAGAAGGCACAGTCATGAGATGGTTAAACACAGCAGGAAGACATTGTAGTTCACAGAGATCTGGTGAAGCACCTAGAAGTAAGCTGAAGGATTTCAATGCTTTGCATAAATAAAACCTTTAGCAGTTTTTTAAATTATGGTGCATTGTTTTCACCGTCAGACTTGTTACATGTCTTAAATAGTAGTTGGCAGTATCACGTTATGCATTTTGGCAGTTCGATTTGAAAGCGAACGTTTCAAATAAAGATGAGTATTCTCATAAATGATCCAAGACTCACGTTATTACAGTAGTTATTTCGAGTGGTGTTATTAAGGCATAAAACTTTGGTGAGGAGCTGACAGCATTTGGTGGTCAACTCCTTACAGTGAGAGCACCAAAACTGTGCTGCTCTAGCAGGGACTGGAGAGATCCCTCCGGTTAAATCAACATTCAAATAAGCAGTGGTACAGAAACTCTGCAGGACAGCTTTTTTCACAGCATGACTTGGCTGAATGAAAATTTTAAATTAATTTAAGCAGCGTTCCGCAGAGAGCTGTGGCGCCGTGTGGGAAGAGCTTTCCTGATGCTTGTCTCTGTACAGCTGCTCCTCATGTCATTTCCAGTAACGCAGTCATCCCCCTTCAGAGGAAGCCTGCCGTAGAGGGACCGCAGAACCTACTCGCCTGTCTTAATAATCGTGTTCTAACATCCTGCTTAAGTTGTTTGCGTTCTAACAACGGAGGGAGGTGAACCTCACTGGAATAAATACGTCCTTTAAAGTGAAGAGTTGATTAATGTTGTCAATTTATGCCTATTGGTGTTCAGTGAATTGTGTTTAGGGTGTATTATCTAATATACTTAGATGCGATATCCCTAGTTTCTCTTATTGTAATGCGTCTTTATGTAGTGTGTAACATGCCTCATATAGTAGACAGCTAGAGCATTGGGAGTTTCTAACTGGATTTATAAACGACTTTAATTTTGCTTAACTTGATTTGGCTAAAACCACACTTTTGGCCAGTTGAATGTTCTTGACTACCATGACAGTTTGTATTTATGTTTCGTGCTATCTTTTTTTTTTTGCTTTTTAAGTTGCCCATGTTCAACAGGGAAAGTTGCTGGCGTTCTGCAGGAAGCAAGAAGGAACATTTGAGATTTGAAGATTTGAGAGGAGAAATAAGTGAGGAGTTAGTTGGTCTGAACGTCGGGTACCAGGAAGAATTAAACGCACTCCATAGCTTGTGTGAGTGCACAGCCGTTACTGGAAAGCCACTTATAACTTGTGAGGGTCGTTGCAGCCTGCAGCCTTTCAGTGTCACCAGGGGGGACAAAGCAGGTGGAGATCCTGACCGAGACGGCGATCCACAAATCCACAGAGTTTATTTTCCCATCTGCTTCCAGTAGATTCCACAAAACTCCCCTTTTCTTGTTTGTAGAAAAGTGGCAAAAGGCTTGATGAACATGGAGATTTCTCTAGGAGAAGCAAGATTATTTTAACCATGAAGATAGGACATCTAGCACCAAGGACTGCACCTCTTTATTTTAGACCGTTGGTAATGGCTCCCCTGTTTCTCAGCTCATCTCCTAATCAGTTTTAAGCTTTGTACCCGTGTGATGTGTGTGGTGAAATGCGTCTTGGTGGTAGATTATTGCATTTCTGAATGCCTTGTGCCTTGTTTTTTATGAACAGACTGCAAACTATGACTGCATTATCAATAGATGGATTGTCAAGAGTTCTTTGTACCATATTTCTAAATTATATAGCGTGTATAGGATAGCTGGATAATTTAGGAGTTTTAACCTGAACCGATTTTAATTAATTCTCAAATTTTAAAGTGGTTACGATTCAGATGTAATCTGTAAATTGTTTAGCTAGGATTAAAAAAAATAAAGTAAAAAACATTTTTGCATGGCAGGTTGACAATGTTAAATAAAAATGAGATCTTCAGAATCTGATCAACAATGCAGCAGTACCTTATATCCTTATGTTAAGTGTGGTGAGGTGATGAGAGGAAGCTTCAGTGACCTAAAATTGGGTGTACTAAATCTGCGTATTTACCTTGCGAGTTGGTTTATTCACGATTTGGTCTACCTGACGGGGGTTTGGGCCGAAGAGGAGCAGAGCAGGGTGAGACCGAGCCCAAGGTTGTCAAGCGCAATTTTCACATTAATGACCTAATGATTGCCTACCAGCACAAAGACCAGAGTCATTGAATTATTCCGGACAGCTCCACAGTCTGTCTGGATTGTGTCACTGGGTCCTTACTATTAAGAGTGTCCTGAAATAGTGTGTTCATATTACTCTGCCAAAGTACGACATCGCATTGCTTAAATGTGTTGGTATTTAATTGCCAAACACTTCATTATAAGCACTTACCTCGGGGGTAATACATTAGGGAATGTGTGAGAGTGTGCGGGGGGTTAAAATCCTGGATAGATTTTTAGTATTGTGGCCATCTCACCCCATGTTCACATGAACATTGTCGGCAAGCCCTGCATTGTGGCGATCGCTCCATGATAGTCAATGACAAGTGATCGTGTGCGCCGTGTTGCGATGTTTTTTTTTGTTTTAGTAAATAACCCGACGCCTCACTGCCAGATCTGATCCCTGGCAAAATGACGCATCCCTCTGACCTTCCAGAAACTATCTTTGCGGGAAAGTGGTTATGCCAGACAGAGGGGGTTGTGGGACACCTGCGGGTCTCGGAACGAGCCGCGTAGGGGTGTATCAGCGGCGTGGGCTCTCCTCGGTGGCGCGGAGCGTAACCCTGAGTGTGTCCTTCCGACAGAATGTCATCAGAGGACAAGACTCTGGAGCCCTCTGACCAAGGACCGTCACCGCCCCCGAGCAGCACAGCGGCCACCCCAGCTGGGAGCCCGGCCACCACAGACAAGCGACCCAGGGGAAGACCTCGCAAGGATGGTGTCGCGCCCACGCAGAAGTCCAAGAAAAAGTGAGCTGCTCACGGGTTTTTCTGCCGCGAGTGCGCGTGCGAGTGCGAGCTCTGTAGGACACGGGAGACCATTCGGGTCACAAGGCTTCAAGAAGTGAAAACTATGAAATTAGCTTCAAGTTTCTTATACGTAACAGAGGATATGCTTTTGTGGTGAGGCTGTTACAGGGGAACATGGTTGAGAAAAGTGCTTTTGCCAGCCATTAAATGTTTTCAAAGATGGGAGGCTTTCCTCTACCAGCTGTTGTTTGTGAGGTGTGTTTAATGGATATATGAGTTTTGACATCTTTAAATAAGAAAGGGACTGAAGGTCTGAAGATTGTGGCATCTTACCAGACTTTAGTTCAGAAAGAAAACTACAAAAATATTACAGCTGTACTTAAGGTTAACTCTAGCGGGCTTCCCTTAGGACTATTAAGTTGTCCCAGTTTTATTAAGTGCCCTGAATTATTTAATCAGCAAACAGTTTATTTTGTTCTCTTGTTCTGGGCACCCGAGATTTTGGAATACAGTGGGGTCTCAACATCTGCGGATTTAACTTGCGAATTGGTTTATTCACGATTTGGTCTGGCTGGCGAAGGTTTGGGCCAAAGAGGAGCAGAGCAGGGTGAAACCGAGCCCAGGGTTGTCAAGAGCAACTTTCACGTTCGCCGCTGCGGGCTAGGTTCAGATGAGGCGATTCCAGCTCGTGAGTGAGGCTTTCTGGATCTTAAGGGTATCGCTCGTGAGAAACTTGCTTGCTGATGCGCAACCGTTAATTTCAACTTTTTTTTTTTTTACACATTTCAGTGTCATTTATTTTTGAATCTGTTGGGCGATATGTGTGAAGCATCCTTGAGTTAAACTACATGATGATAATTAACTGAAATGTAATTAGAGGGGGGAACCAAGCATTTAAACGTTCGTAGACGTCCTATACAATTCAGAGTGATCTTGGATGCGAGCACTTGAAATTGTAACTAGAGGCACTCGCTTAATGATTTTTCCATCTTTTCAGGGTGCACTTTTAACGAGCGAGACTTGATTGCCGTTTCTCCAGGGCTCTAATTGCACCCTGCATGCCAGGAAGTACCCTCCATTTTCCTCCCTGGTAGCCCCAGAGCCTCTTTGAACTAAGAAGCGAGGGGATCTCTGCCAACAGAGAAGCAAGATGTGTTTTTCTGCAGCCTCAGTGATGGAGCTAGTAGGTTATAGTGGTGTGTGGCTCCTACTGTGCTGTCTCTTGCCAAATGGCTGACACTTTAAGCTAAAGGAAAGAAAGTAACCATTTCATTAAAACCTAGATTTTGGCTTGTCCCTATCCTGCTGTAATATTTGAATTACCTGTTTTTTTTTCCAAATTGGCTTTTTTAGTGAAGTTTTTCATTGGTTTAAAAAAACATGCCAAAATAATAAAAAAAAAACGTTTTTAGGTTTTGGTGATGGTAGTGAAGTATTAACAGGGATTGAACTTGACAGAAAGACTAAAATCGCGCTTTTAAAAATAAGTCTGTAATAGTGAATCTGTGTAGCATATTATCCCAATTCAGAGTACTATTGGAAGTACTTAAAAGTTCAATATGAGATTTCTTTCCCTTTTCTGGGAAGATTGCGATTACGCCAGGCAGGACATGACACTCATGAGTGGGAGCTACAGGAAACGTGTCCCCATACTGAGTTACTGGCAGAATGGAGGATGGACCGGGACGCAGGCTGTTTTCAGTCCACAGCACAGTCATTTGATAGAAATGATAATGATCAGTGAATCTGGGAAGCTGATTTTGCCATTCGTCCATTTGCTGAAGTGATTTTTTTAACAAGGAGCAACAGGTGGAAAACTGACTTTTTGAAAGTCCATCTGAAGAGGCTGTTTTATTATTCGAAAAATCTTGACTCTTTCTCGGAAGCAACACAATTTTAAGACTTTTGAGTTGAGCATGCCTCCCTGCCCAGTTCTGCAGTGCTTTTGTTTTGCCTAGACAAATTGTGTACTGATGCTCCTGAATAGAGTCTAATTTGGTCATTTCAAGGGTAGTAGCTTTCAGTTAGCTTTGAACAAGCTTAAGATGGAAATCTACTTGCTTCTGTATTAAGTCCCTGTCTGCTGGCAGGGCTAGAGAATAGAAGTGGGGCTGTGCTGATGACTGATTCTTGATAAAGTAACATCCACATGCATGTCTGAGATTTCTGTCTCTGCTCACCTGTGTATGAAGCTGTGAGGAGGTGAACACGTTCTTCAACTCGTTATTCCTGCCCATCCTGCTGCTCTGTATTGACCTGGATTCCTGAAGATAACACGTACAACATGGAGGTTCTTAACTGTGGTTAATGTACAGGTTAGTCGCGTGGCAAGAGTTTCGTTAGTATAAAGCAAATATGGGAAAACATGACGAGATGCTGATTCCCAGCACCGGTGGTGGTGCCCTTTTGTATAAACAGGCAGATGGGCGCGATGGAGGAAGGATGCCTTTCATCAGACATGCAGCTGTGATGTCTGCTTTGTGAACCAGGACTTCTCCTTGCCCCTTATTTTTAATTAACTTTGTTACTTTTGGTAGGAGGTACTTAGTATTGTCCGTTTGGCATATGGGTTGCAAAAGGAAATAAAAATGCCCTTTTAACATTTGACATTTTTTTTAAATCCCTTTGCTTAGTTGTCTTGTTTCTTAAGGAATCTTGTTTGATTTTGATTAAGTCCCTTGTGATGTCTACAGAGGGCAACACAGAATAATGAGGAGGAGTTTGGACTCCAAACCTGGGAGGTTGTGGCTTCATGTCCTCACTACAGATACTACTACAGTTTCCTTGAGCCTAGTACGTTCCTTGCTCTAGTGTAGCCCTGTAACTAGTCTGCACTGGGGAAAGCCGAGACTAACCAGCATTCAACCCAGGAGGGGATTTTTACTCCCTGTCTGGTCAGCATTACAGAAACTGAGGAGATCTGTGTAACCTGTGAGCCCCTTGGCTTAAGTGTGCAATGTTCCTCTGTTACTGTTTAGGTAGGCTTTTACTACCACTGTTACTTTATAGGCTACTGATCTGAGCAATTTAATAATAGCACTTATGGAGTGCTTGTCATCAGAAGAGGATCCCATAACTCTTTATGTACAGGAGATGGCCCACTTCTCCCAGCACTTATGTGCAGTGCCCACCTGATATGCAGCAGCTATACTACACAGCAGATGAGGTAGAGGAGTGGGATGTTGCCCCACCTATTAAAACTAAATTAAGTGGGAGCTTTAGGAACATCTGTCTGAAGGAAAGACATGATTCTAAGTCAAGAGTGGAATTCAGCCAGGAAGGTTAGGAATCCTACCCACTCTTCCAGAAAGTGCTGTGGTATTTCAGTTGTGAGGCTGTCCCATCCAAAGCATGGTACCACCTTCAGCACAATGTCCCTGATCGCCATACTGAGGTGTTGGTTTGGACCTCGTGCCATCAGCACCACTCACACCATCAGCCAGGTGTTCTTTGTAATGTCTCGGGGTGGTAAGGCTGCTGATGAATGCCTTCCTCGGGTTCGACTAGTCAAGAGCTTTGCTGGTTTGGACTTGCCAGACTTTAGGTTAACGAATTGATATAGTTAAATCTGGTGATTTTCATGGTGTCTGTGCGAATGATCAGAGAATTTGAAAAGCCCAAGTTCTGTTTTTTCCTTAATTCTTTTTACTAAGTTGGAAAAAAGGAAACCCAAAGGTTAATATAAAGCTGAAATATTTTTTTTGAAATTGAGAGGCATCACCACTTAGATGTTCCATCGTGAAATTCACATTTTAAACTGGTACAGATAACTCGCTAAGGTTTATCAAATATCTGCACTAGTATTTGGTAGAAGTTTACTATATACTTAAGTATACTACTTTAGATTATAAAATGTAGTGTTTCTAATGAAGATGTATGTTTCTTTTGAAATTGTGGCTACACTGATAGTGGACTGTTTTCTTGAGGAGTATTAAACCTGTTTTGTAAGAATCCTACCTCACTGTCGTGTCAGTAAATATTTTGACATGCATCCTATTTTTAAGAATGCTTTTATAGTACGTCACCCATCAAACCTTTTTTTTTAAAAAAAACTGTTGGAACAAGCGGTGGCTCTGTGGCTCAGGATCTGCGCCTGTGGCTGGAAGGTTGCCGGTTCAAATCCCGCAGCTGGCAGAGGAATCCTACTCCGTTGGGCCCCTGAGCAAGGCCCCAACTGCTCCAGGGGCGCTGTACAATGGCAGACCCTGCGCTCTGACCCCAGGCTCTCTCCCTGTCTGTGTCTGTGTGTCTCATGGAGAGCAAGCTGGGGTATGCGAAAAGATCATTCCTAATGCAAGAAATTGTAAAGGGTTAATAAAGTGATGTTAAAAAGCAAAGGCTTTCAGCATGTAGCTCTGGCTGTAGGGCTGCTGCAGGAAGGTGAAGTCCTGCTCCAACCAGAGGGTCCGTGCCAGGTTTTCACTCCCTCCCACGCTGCTGGAACTACTTACGCCAACAGCCTTTTTCTCCCCCCCCCCTCCCCACTGTAGTGGGATCATGAGGATAAGTTATAGCGCACTGGGCTGGGGGGTTGGGTGTTCAAGAGGCTTTTAGGTTTTGTTCTGTAAAGAAAAGACTGAATTTCTTTGATTCTAGAAGCTGCTGAGTGCAGGGCTCAGGAGGAGAAAGAAAACTGCCATGCATTAAATATAATAAATGGAAACTTACAGAGATGTTGAGTAACTCAACTGCTGCTCCTTTTTTGATAGTCTGTGATCACCTGCACTTTATTTTTGTTGTGAGGAGGATTACTTATTTTTTTCATTCAAGCTACTGTTTCGATTGGTTGAGTGCTGCTCATTACAAGATTTAATTTAAAGCCGTTTGCTCTCTAGCAAAATGACAATTTGTGACTAAATATTTTAGCAGAAGTCTGTAACACTATAGTAGATGCAGAATATTTTCCTTTTTTTTTGTAACAAGACAAAGGTGTTGAAGCCATAAACATACTTGATCCTGCTACATGTTTTAAACCTATTAAATCATCCTTACCAGGCATC